CATCCGCCTCTCCAGCGTGGGGCAGGGTCTGCCTGGCACCAAGCCCAGCCAGTGCCCCCTGCCCCTCTGGGATGGGATCCAGCTACAGGGCACGATCCTGCCAGCCCCGGCTACTGCGGTGGCCCCTGTGCCCCAGCCCGGCTGTGCCCACCTTTCACGAGAGCGTCAGGGTCATCCTCCACTGGCCCCGGGCCCTTCTCCACGATGAGGCTGCGCATCTCCTCCGCAACGAGCAGGGACCTGGGGACGACGTGGGACTGAGCCCAGGTGCCTGCTGGGTGCCTTCCACGGTCCCCGAGCAGGGAGCCGGCCCCGGAGCTGGGGTGAGCCAGGTCCCGAGGGGCTCAGGGCACCCCGCAACCCCGCGGTGGGAACGCAGCAGAGCCATCGGGTGCAGATGACCCTGGCTAAAAATAAGCTGTTTGCAGTCGTGGCCCTGCCAAGGAATTCGGAAAATGAACAACCAGGAAGGAATGTTGGCAGCAGCGTCAGCACTGGGAGGACGGGGAGCGAGCAGGCCCCTGTGTCCCGGCACCCCGTCTCCCCAGGCACACACAGCCCCAGGGCACAGCCTCCACTGGTGGATATGGCCCAGCAGAGCCTCCCAGCCCGGCAGAGCCTCCTGGCACAGGAGGAGCCACGCACGGCCCCCAACAGCTAAGCCTGCGGCAGCCAAGCCATCCAGCATGGCAGAAGGATGGAGACGTGCCCAAGGATGCACCAGGGATGGGGACGGAGCGGGGCGGTCCTGGCTCTGCTGTCCTCTGCTCTAGCTGATAGACCAGCACAGCACGGCGCTGGCCCTGTGGGCAGGATGGTACGGTGCACGCTAGCACCAGTGCACCCTCCCACAGCACACCAGGCCCCCAGCTCCTGCAGCACCACATGAGGGATGCGATGGGATGCCTGGCAGGCCAGAGGCGGGGGGCACTCACCGCTCCGAGCCGCTGCTGCTGCAGGTGGGCTGGTTCAGGCTCACCTCCAGGGACCCCTGGGGAAGAAGGAGACATCTCAGCCCCACAGTCACCGCCTGGCACCCCCATAGTCACCACCTGGCACCCCCAAATATCCTCCTGATGACTTCCTCGCCTCTTTCCCAGCCCAGCTCCGGGCCCAGAGGGACAGGCTCACATCCTGCTGCCATGGGGCAGGGTGCCCCGGTGCCCCCCACCACCGCGGTAGGAGCCAGGGCTGCAGCTGGGGCACCCCGGGGGGCGCG